TTTCATTAAAAATGGGTACTTGAGGTTTGTATGATAGATTATCAATTTTAAGTAGAGACCGCATCCTTGGTACTGATTCAAAGTGTCACCATTGTGTGGAAGCAGGGGAAATGGGAAAAGACATCACTGCCAGGTGACAGGTTAGAGATACAAGGTAAGGCCAACCAGGATTCATGATAGTGATTTTGATCACTGTCTGCATGACAAAAAAGAAAGCGTAAGGATTAATTTAGGAGACAAATTTGCCACAGAGGAAGGAGTCCATTTGGGGCCCAAATTATTTGGTGTAGAGATCTACAGTGGTTTTTTTCACTGGACATTCATTCTATTCTCTACTTCCTTCTCCTGTATAGACAGCTTCCCAAAGGATAACTGATTATACTTTGTGGGTTTTAAATTTCGGAAAGTTATTTCTCCCAGTGTCAAATTTGCACCATAAGCATATCTCCTATTTAAGCATCTCTTGCAAAAGCTTGGGACTCTAGCAATAAGAGGTACACTCAAAAGCCAGTCTGGCAGCCCTGGTATCAGGTCTGGTCTCTACGAGCTGTCAACTCAGTAAAGAAAGTCTGTGAAATCTCATCAGATATTTCCAGGGTTGCACTAAATTTATTTGCCTGAAATGCTCATATCATTGTAATCCTCTCGACCTGTTAGAGCTGTTTAATAGCGGAAGACCATTTATTCAGCTTATTGAAAATTAATTACTTATATTGCGCAGGTTTGCAAGGGGACAATGAAAAGGCAGTGGAGAGGCAGCAAGGGAGATAAACCTTGCCCACCAAATTCTTTTTTCTTCTCTTCATTTTACCCAAAGAGGCCCTATACTGAGTGGTAGAGAGAGCTGCAAAATCTGTTCATTTTGCATCTTATTGCGTCTCTCATTGTGATGTTTTCATAACCTTTTGGGAAAGCCCCAACTTTTCAGTTATTCCACTGAACCAAAATTAAGTAACCAAACATGAAGAATGGGAATCTTTAAGATGAGAGAATAAAATGAATGAACGAATGAATGAATGAGTGAATGAATGAAAGAAAAACCTGCCATCCAAAACCTTTTGCTTTCCATTGAATGGATGTTTGCTTAGGGAATTGAGACATTTTGTATTTTCTCTGTACCTTTGTGAGAAAGATGTGTGGCTTTGCTTAATGAAGTTGAGAGGGGGAGTAGAAACAAATGCTGTACTTAGTCTGGAGGCAGTGAGTTGCGGGGACAATTCTGAATATCAGATTTTTAGCTATTCTGAGATCCTACTTCAGTATATTTTAAAAAGTGGAATAAATAGCTAAATAAAATTTTATTAGAATACATAATTCTCCTTTTTTGCCTTTATAATATAGAAATTTTGTCTGACAATATAGACCATTTCTTATAATGAGGGATACAGAGGGAGGAGATACTGGATAGACAAAATCCACAATAGTGAAAAACTGACTTTGTGCTAGTTTAAATCCTGTCTCACTGGGAAAACAACTAAAGAGGCAATGCAGCATTTATGTGTCCTTTCGTCTTTCTGTTTTTACCCATTAGGAATAAAAGTTATGAAAACTCACTTAGCATTAGGGAGAAGTCCTATAGTCACATCCTGTAGAATACTTGAGTGTTAGAGAAAATGTGTATTATTCAAGATTTATCCTTACTCTGATAGGAAAAGATGATCTTTAAAAAGGCACATTTAGGGCCTTCCCTGGTGGCGCAGTGGTTGGGAGTCCGCCTGCCGATGCAGGGGACACGGGTTCGTGCCCCGGTCCGGGAGGATCCCACATGCCGCGGAGCAGCTGGGCCCGTGAGCCATGGCCGCTGAGCCTGCGGGTCTGGAGCCTGTGCTCCGCAACGGGAGAGGCCACAACAGCGAGGGGCCCGCGTACCGCAAAAAAAAAAAAAAAAAAAAAAAAAGGCACCTCTAGGAAAGCAACCTTAATTTTTCCTTAAGAACTTTATATTTTCAAGTGCGACTTCTAATATAATGGTAATACCTGTTTTGAAGCACATGTTAGAGTTAGTTAAACTTGTCCTGGTATGTGCAGACTATCACCCAAATTCAGTTCATTTTATGCAATTTTTCAATAAGTAATTAAAAAAGAATCCCTCCTGAGTTTATCCAGTCTGATATTGTAGACCATTTGCTATCAATTCGAAGTTCTCAATTAGCTCCAGTGTTGTTCTAATTACTGGATGTGTTTTCAAGCAACTCCCAGCTAATAACTGTTGGGATGAAGAGTCATTTTCTCGCTCTAGACTGGACTGTGCATGCTCATGCTTACTGTGATGTTTTGACAATGATTCATTAACCAATAATAAGGCCCCAATTGGAACAATTAGACATCGATGGCTTTGCTAGGCTGACCTTTTATTTTGTTCCTCAATATTGTCTTTTCTTCAGTTGGTTTCTAGATAACTCCCAAGAGACTCCTTACTATACAAAGCAATATCATGAAGACAGCTGTCATTAAATTCAGCTACTTGTACGAAAGCTGCGTCTAGGAGGATGCTCTTGTTGGAAACTCAAGATGGAAAAACATCATAAAAGGAGTCTATAATAAGAGAGAATACATGATTTAAAGGTCCTTTATACCAGTTCATAGAGATTAGGGAGTTAGGCACTATGTCTTTCAATGGCTTGTATGACATCTGGTCAAATCCAGGCCCTCCATCATTACGTCACTCAAGTTTATGGTTCCTTGTCTTCTAATAGGCAGATTATTTTTATTTCCTAAATATCTGAAACAGAAATATGATAAAAATTGATCACTGATCCACTCAGGTCTATAAAAGATCAATGTTATTGTTAATAGTACAATTGCCTTTAAAGGAGGAGCCAGACAAGCGTTTGTCATTTACTGCTTTTGCAGAACCTCTACCCTGTCTTAGTATCATGGTGCCTTAGTGACATTCTGCTGGATCTTACCATTGTGGGATGACTTGGGGCCAGATGAAGTCTATTTTGATCTATTCTTTGATTTCAACCCCAGGCTCTCAGCAAGTATGTTCTATTTCTTTAGTCAAACTCATTTTAGATGCTGCCTGTCACTTTCCGTGTTTGTGTACAAAGAATTTTGATTGCTCTAGGGTCATATATACCGGACGGTAAAGCTTTGCCTTGAGTGTAAAGTTCCTGTGAAATGTTGTTTGATATCAACTGGATCACTGAACCTGCTTCAGCTGGGTGTGGGTTCTTAATAGGAGGTGTGAAAGTGCCTGAAGGATTTAATGCTTAGGCTGAGAGAAATGGTTAGGGAGAGGTTTTTAAATGTTCTGAAAAAAAAATTGAAATAGTGTCTCTTTTATTGGTCAGCATTTGAGTTGCACTGTAGATGTCTCTTACAACTTCATCAATGTAGTAATAAAGTTGCCAGACTGTACATGTTAAAAATGCAGGGTAGATAGTAATGCATATTTCTAAAAATGGAACTTAAATGTTGGAAGTTCATGTCCCAAATTGAAATATATAATTACATCCTCCTTGCACACACAGAAAAACAAGAACTCTCTTCCCACAAACAAATAATCAAACAGTGCTCTCCTTGCTGTTGAAAGATTGGAGTTTAGATCTGGCTAGTCTCCCATTGTAGGACTGAAGGACTTCAGAGTCACTTATCCTTTCTTGATCTCCAATTCCTCTTCTGAAAAATTGGCACTTGAACGAGATAAACCCCTTCCGAGCTCTAAATTCCTTTAAGATAATTTAGTAGAAATGGAATGTTTAAAAAATTTACCCTGTCCCTTTAAAAATGAAAATATGGCAATGTCTCTTATGCATTATTTTTAGCTTCCAGAGCAAGTTTTAAAATGTAGGGAAGTTTTAAAATATAGGGGAAAAAATCATTCTATCTCATGTTTCTAGAAAAGTCTTTAAACATGTACCTTGAAGGGTCCTCTTCTTTTACAGATACATTTTAGGAGCAGCTTGGGCTGTGATTTTCCTGAACTAACTCCTCATATATGCTATGATTTTCCAAATACTACTGAAACATGATTCTCCAGTTTACTGTTTATGTTCAGATACTTGTTATCTTTCCAGACTTTCAATGCTGTTTCCAGTATTAAGAAAAAGTTTTGTACAGGCAGCTTTTCTACCACATTGTGGTATATGTAAAATTTGTACAACATAGGAATAAACCTCCAAAGCCAGTCCTTATGCCACCTGTATAGAGACACGGATTTTCCCTAAATTATTGTTAAATGTGTCCATTTCTGGATGTAGCCATCTAAGAATGCAATGCCCATCTAGTACAAGCAAGTAAGTAAAATTTAAATCCTAATTTAATAGGATTTAAAATAGTCCCAGGGACTATTTTAAGACCTGGGAATTTCACAATGTTTATGCAGTTTCAAAAGATTCTTTAAAAGGGAAAAAATATTTATTAATATTGACATTCAGTAGGATGTTTCTGTGGGATGTTTTTGTCTTACCTAATGTTTTTGTGTGGAAGCACACATTTGATGATATTTTAAGGTATTTTTGATGGCAAGATGTTCAGCAAATTTATGTACTTGGAGTCAGCAGCTTTGAGAAAGTGTCTCTCTCAGAGGTGCCCGAGTTGAGTGCTTTTGGACTTGGTGGATTTCTAATTAATATCTTGATGCTCTGTTAGAACAACATTGAGATTTGTTTTACTTGAGTAGCACATCTAGAAGCACTTTCATTTTTTGAATTTTACATATAAACCCTTGGCTAAATTTAGAGATTTTTGAAATATTTTGGAAATGATATTGCAAAGTTTACCGGTGTTTAGTCCAAGTTGAGTTCTTTTCAATAGAAACTGAAGTGTTTATAGTTTTTTTTTAATCAGAAAAATGAGAAAGAAACACAAGTAGATACATTTATTTCTGGGTAACTTGAAGAGTTTCATTATGCTAAGAAAGGGTAGCGATCATTTAAGAAATTCAAAGAGCCAATATAAAGCCAAGAAGAAATGAAAGGATCCAGTATAAAACCAAAAGGCTTTATTCCCTAGTTCTTATTCAGCCCCAATATTAACTGATTTGAAAATAAATAATTAAAATAGTTTTTCTTCCTGGAAAGTAAAATATGGCGCCGTAATGTAATAGGGCCCCATATTTTAAACCCTGTACGAAGCAAACGTGGACTGCAGTTAGGTGACGATGCTAGGTCATCACTCTCAATGCAGAGCAGTGGGCTGGAGTTTCTCTTCTCCAAGTCCATCCCCTGGGCATCTCTGGTCATATCTTGTCTATACAATATGAAGGGCTTTAAAAGCAGCCACAGCCTGTTTTTCCCTTTCATGTCTGTTCTGCAGTACTTCCAGCAGTGAGATTTCAGGTAAAATGTCTCCGTTTCCAGCATGGGTTGGATTTTTCTTTTCCTTTGAGGCTTGATCACTCAGATTTGAAGGTTTGGGTTTGGGGATGGTCTTAGCATATTCCAAAGCCTAAAAGCATAAAGATAAAATTTTATTTGAGATGGGAAGTGAACCCTGGATTCCTTAAATTAAATCTAGTCTTAGGAAAGGTTTATTGATAATATAATTGGAGACTATTGCTACAATAATGTACTAAGGGATGGATGGAAATGGAGACCAAATGGAAAATACAAATAATGCAATATAACGCACAGTTTAAACAAAATCAATTAGCCACGTAACAAAATGCTGTGGAAAAAAAGAGAGTTGAAGAATGATATGTACGGTTGTGACGCTGGATGTTTTCTTTATAAAACTGAGTTTTATTCAAGTGCTTGAAAATAGATTTCTTATGTGTTTGATCTGTTTAGCTGCTGGCAGTCTTATTAAAACCAAACCTTTATTGAGGAGATATTAACTGACCTTTCCATCCAAAGAGGACTTGTTACAGCTTGAGACCAAAGACATCACTGTAGTTGAGATAAAGCTGAGTCTCCATTGTTACACCAACTATTCTTGTTTCTGGGTTCTTACAACTCTGGCAAGTATTTATTAGAGGTTGAAAATTATTGTTTCCTTTTCTTTAGCATATCTATAGATACCTGGATACTAAAAAAAGGCAGTCTTTTTTTCAGTGATGGCAGTTCTGACAGGCATTACAAGAAAAATGAGATTACTGAATATGATTTCTAAATCTGCCTTTATATGTTTTACTTTTCTAAAATTAACCATTTTTTAAAACTGAAGTATAGTTAATTTACAATGTTGTGTTAGTTTCAGGTGTTAGTTTCAGGTTAGTTTCAGTATATATATATATATATATATATATATATATATATATATATACTTTTTCAGATTCTTTTCCATTATAGGTTATTACAAGATATTGAATATAGTTTCCTGTGCTATACAGTAGGTCCTTGTTGTTTACCTATTTCATATATAGTAGTGTTAGATGTTAATCCCAAACTCCTAATTTCTCTCTCCCCACCCCCAGTTTTACAGTTTAATAAGAGTTTCTTGAGAGCTAAAATGGGAATGGATAGTATATGTAGGTCCTAGAAGGGGAAAAATCTCCAAAACAGAAAAACTCCAGACTTCTCAGTGTGTGTAGTTGACTTCTATTGGAATTTCTAATTATAGACTTGTTGCCTTGAATTTCTTCATGAACAAATAATGGACTGGAGAAAAAAAGAAAAAGTGGCATCATGGAAACTCAATCAAGTGGATTGAGGTCTTCAAGGTCTGAGGAAGGAAGGCAATAGATAGAAAATATGAGAGTCTGTGAAAGAGAACACGAAGTACAAATTCCTAAAAGCACCAAAGGGTCACTTGTCCCTCGTGCAAAGGGTCCCACGTCCTTCCTGGGACTGAGGCAGAGACTTGTACTGCAAAGCTCGGTGTCTCCATAGAACGTATTTCATTCACATCACAACTTAGAGTTGGATGACTTCTGAGAGGGAGAACATCCTGTATTTATCATTTTTATTGGGTAGAGGAACCTATATAGTACCATCCCTTAGGAGAAATATAGGGAATGAACTTGAGAGAAACAGTGAAGGACTTTCCTCTGACATAAGCACCCAGACATGGCAAGAAGATGCTAATTTCTTAAAACTTATTTAATGGTAGAGAAGGAAATTGATGGTTAATCAGGATTATTAGTTTTTTTCTATGAAATCACCTAACCATTGAATTTTTGTGTGAGAAACTCGAAACACTATACTTGGAGGAAAACATGTGGAAGACTAAAGATAACAGTGAACTTCAGGGAAAAAAAGAGGCTAACCTTCCAGCATCATATGTGTGTATATCATTTTTACATCAATATCTGTGAATGATGGGGAGCCGCAGGAACAGTAGTAGCTAAAACATCCTCTGTGTTCAAATAATGTGGAGAATTCATTGTCGTGAGGTCACAGAGGTTTCCTTTTAATTCTAATTAAAAAGACAACTGCCTTGGTGAGAATTTCTTACCTTCTGCCGAGGGACAGCAGATTTATTTTCAGTCTTTGCTATTTGTGGCTTTGACGGGATGGATAGTGCCTTCATGTTGTATTCCTTTACTTGTTTTGCATATTCCTTTTGCTGTATTAATTTCTGCATCTGTTCAGAGAAACAAAGTGAGGGTGACTCACAGGTCCTGCTAGATCGCTCTGTTCTCTATCTAAATTGACACTAATTTTAGTGAGCTGGGCACGGGGGAAATGGGATCACCGCGTGTAAGGTGACAGCAGTGAAATGGTTAAGTTAATGTCTCTCCTAGAAATAGTTTCTCTTGAGGGGCGGAATGTCACCGCAATAGCACACCCAGTGTTCACTTAACAGTGGCTAAATCCCATTCAGCCTCTTCTTTGTTGCGTTTACCCAATTTATTTTCACTTTTGCTTCCAACTTTGAACTCTACTCTCTTTTTAGGCCTTGAGTGCAGCTGCAGTTAAAACACATTAAATGAAGATCTCCTTTCACTAGAGGAAAGAGAATAAAGTGGATGTACTTTTCATGGCTTGGGAAACTCGTACCCTGAGTGTCTTCTCTGTAGCCACTCCTCAGTATTATCAAGATAACTCTATTGGGAAAGACCAACGACCATATAACACACACATCTCTTTTCATGTGCATGTGTCCCACTTTTCTGTTTGGGCCTTCAAAACTAACTAAAAGGTGGATACATAAAACAACATTGGCTGAGTAATTTTATTTTATGGTAGAAGTAGTGCCCGGGGCTTATTACCAATGCTGCTTCAGAAGGGTCTCTATTCAGAGGGAGACATTTGAATTAGGACTTGGTTCTGGGGGTATCTTTTTTTTTTTTTTTTTTTCAGGTCCATACCTTTGTTTTTATTTATTTATTTATTTTTTACATCTTTATTGGAGTATAATTGCTTTACAATGGTGTGTTAGTTTCTGCTTTATAACAAAGTGAATCAGTTATACTTATACATATGTTCCCATATCTCTTCCCTCTTGCGTCTCCCTCCCTCCCACCCTCCCTATCTCACCCCTCCAGGCGGTCACAAGGCGCCGAGCTGATCTCCCTGTGCTATGCGGCTGCTTCCCACTAGCTATCTACCTTACGTTTGGTAGTGTATATATGTCCATGCCTCTCTCTCGCTTTGTCACAGCTTACCCTACCCCTCGGTTCTGGGGGTATCTTTATACAGTTTTGCTGGAAGACAAATGGCAAATCCAACCCTGGAATTGCTATATGTACATCACACTCACTTTGTCTCTGATGGACTCAAGGTCAGGTCCGAGGCCTCCAAGCTTCATGTCTCTGTTCTGATAACCTTTCAGCTTGGAACTCTAAAAATACAATCAAAGAGACAGTTTCTTTTAAAGACTTGTATGTCCCCCACCCTCGAGTTGTCATGGCCACATAAGAAAGGGAAGAAGCAAAATGAAGAATGGCAGCCTGTGTGGACCGTGGGAGAGTGGGTGTGTTTCCCGACAATTTTTCCATTTTAATGGTCGTCACTGATAACAGTTTCTTTGGTAATTTGTAGCTGGTGAGCTAACATGTTTGGACTTTTCTACTTCTGCAATAAAAAACATTGAAATTCTGAAAATTATAAATAAAAAATTTCAAGTGAGCGAAGTGCTGCTTTGTTATTAACATTTTTAACGTAACGGATACATTACTAATTTAACGTAACGGATACGTTATTAATTTAACGTAACGGATACATTACTAATTTAACGTAACGGATACGTTACTAATTTAACGTAACGGATACATTACTAATTTGCTGCTGTTGCTATGAGTAGTATGTCTAGTTTTGTACCGTTCACTGAACCAACAGATTTCCCTGGAAGAGGCGATCTAAACGAATCAGGTAAGCACACACTGCCTCGAAGAGAGAGCACCCTGTCTAATGTCATAATGTTCAAAAGAAAGGAAACATTTAAGGGTTAAGAGTCTAAGCAAGACCCACTGAGAAACTCATTTTATTCAGTGTGATTTTGGATATTTTGAAAGGTACAAAAAATTTTATACGACAATGCTTATTACTGTTGCATATTTAAAGGGACAGAGTATGGGCTTCCCTGGTGGCGCAGTGGTTGAGGGTCCGCCTGCCGATTCAGGGAACGCGGGTTCGTTCCCCGGTCCGGGAGGATCCTGCATGCCGCGGAGCGGCTGGGCCCGTGGGCCATGGCCGCTGAGCCTGCGCTCCGCGACGGGAGAGGCCACGACCGTGAGAGGCCCGTGTACCGCAGAAACAAACAAACAAAAAAAATAAAATAAAATAAAGGGACAGAGTAACAGACCGAGGCTATTTAATTATTAAATTATGTCGGTCGAGCACAGTAACAGGCAGGAAAAATACTAACGCGCTCCTGACTGTAGGATAGGTTAAGATATTCCCCAAACTCCCACTTTTGACATGAAATCTGACTTGCTACTTGCAGCAGATACCCTTGTGGGGAAACAAAGGCCTCTTTTCTTTGCATTTGTGAGTTCATTGAGTTGTCTTCCTTGGGAAGGGCAGGAAGGACGATACCAAAGAGATGGTTTGGGTGACGGCAATGATCTTAGGGTACCTCAAAATTGGTGCTTAGGATAAATTGCCATACCGCAGGGGCAGCAGTTCTGAACTAACCGTGTATGGTGCCACCTGTCTATATGCTAATGGCAAGGCATGGTATTTTTCTAAATTTGGAAAGTTCCTGTTAATTATTAAGTCCTAAAATATACAATATATCTAACGTGCCCTTTCCTAAGAGAGAATTTGGCAGAGGGTGCATCTTGGAAAACCTTTAATTGGATTGGCACAGCCCCTCCCCCTTTCCCTTTATCTTGCCTTGAATGTGGATGTGATTTCTGGAGATACAGCAGCAATCTTGTAGCCAGGAAAGAAAAAAAGAACAAGAGAATTGAACAAATACTGGTTCTGATGTTTTGAGCTATAGAACCACCGGTGCTAGCAACTACCTACTTGTGGATTAACTATGTAAGAAGAATGAACCCTTCTTTTTGAAATTGCCGTAAAGAGTAGTTCTGTGACTTGTAGCTGAAGGCAGTATTTCTAAGGTCCTACAAAATTTTTATAGTACATAGCGCTTCACAGGGCCAAAATCATGTGTCATTTAGGCAACACTTCTACACTGCAAGGATTAAAAGTTCTGTAAACAGAATTTGCCTGATTAGTATGTTAAATATTTGTAGTCAAAACTCTTTCAGTGCATCTAATTCTAAAAGTTCAAAGAAGATCCTTTCTTAAGTCTTTGGACTAAAATAATTAAAATATAGTATACAGAAGAATATAATATATAGAAGAAGTATATAGAAGAAATATTGTTCATTGAAGGCATTTCAAAATCATAAATCTCCTTTAAGAGAATAGACTCATCACCCAGCAAAACCACTACAGCTGCTTCCTGCCCTTTAGATGTATCTGTTCATACTTTTATAAAATTGTCCCTATGCTACAAATTATTTTGTTATTTTTTTTGCTGAGAAGGTTACCATTACACTGTATTTCCCTGTCACTACATGTTTTCTGAAAATGTGATTTTTATGTGTAACATTCTATTGTCTAGTTATAGTTGAATTATTTAGCGATTCTTCTAAATGTTGAACATTTAAGATGTCCTAGGGATGAGCATTGTTTGTGGGCTACTCTGATTATTTCTTTGAGATAAATTAAGAGAAGTGAGATTATTGAGACAGAATCATGAACATATTCAGGGCCATTCATGAACACTTCTGTTAACAAGGTAGAAGAATGCTCTTTTTGTCCAAACCTCGATGACACTGGGTATTATCACATTTTAAAACCTCTGCTAATTTTTAATAGGTGAATGAACTCAGATATCCTATACTTTGCGATTGCAAATTTGTTCTTTATCTGGCATATGCCATCTCCGCCATTGTTTTGAAATCACTAAGTTACCATTTGCCAAAGTAAACCAGTAATGAAAAAGGAGAGAACCCCACTCACATCCAAGTCATAAATCCAGTTTGTCCAAAACTGATGAGACAGAAATGATCAGTGCCCAGAAATCGCATCCTTAGTCTGAAGCAGCTTAGCTTTAATCATTCCACCAACTGACAAAAGATGTAATGTAAAGCATGAATAATCGCTTATTGCATCCCCGCTGAAGTTCTTACTATCACCTCGAATAAACATCGTGGCTGTCACAGAAAAACAGAGCCGAGGGTCTAGCACCGCAGACTGACACGAAGGAAAGAGTGTGGCCCGAAGGGGTCATCTCCAAATGCCACTGACTCCTTGACAGGCTGAGCTGCTTCCAGTGAAGAGATGTTTCTCAAGGGAGAGCGATGGCTCCTAACAGAGTTTGTTCTGGGTGACTGGCAATGAAAAATCCTGGATTTACTTGTTAGCTTCAAGTAATCTTGATTGGTTCTCAGGGCTGTAATTTTGTTTGATCTCTTTCCATCAAAATTCTTTTTCACAGCTTTATTGAGATAAAATTCACACACCACCAAATTCACCCATTTGAAGTTGTACGGTTCAGTGGTTTTTAGTATAGTCATCAAGTTGTGCGAAAGTCACCACAATCCAATTTTGGAACATTTTCATTGACCTAAAAAGAAACCCCGTACCCATTAGCAGTCCCTTCCCTCCCCCCACCTCCAGCCCTAGGCAACCACTAAGCTACTTTCTGTCTATTCAAAAGGCTTTCATAGTCAAATAATCCCTAGAATTTAGTTTGATTTACCTCTCTTTGGCTGTTACAAGACCAAAAGGTCACAATAACACCATGCCACCCCCCATTTTTAAAAATTAAATCAACAATAATAGCCTCATTAGGTCTCCAAACACGGGGAAAATAAAAGCATGTTTTCAAAACATCCCCGGCGGGGTTTGCTGTTACTCTTTGCATGAGATGCACACAGGGTGACATCAGCCAACCCTGGCTCTAGCTGACGGCTGACCAGACCAGATCTACCCCTTGGAATTGGTGTCCACTGGTCGTGGCTTTGGCAGAGTCTGGCATAGGATCTCCTGGTGGAAGGTTTCTGCCGGCCATCAATCACAGGTCTTCTCAAGCCGGAAGAGTGACTTTTATTGTAAACGGGACGCAAAAGGTGCCTGACTTGGAAATGACATTGACTGTCCCGGGAGGACTTGTTTCAACTCTGAGAGGTCGTGCCCTGCTGTGGGGGACACTGCGGGGCTTTCCTCCAGAACATTCCTCAGATGTGTAAGGGTGAGAAAGTTACTCAGAGACGGGACGGAAAACAATGCCTCAAATACTGCGGAACAGCAAGTGAAGGAAATTTGCTCTGCGGTTGCTAAACTTAATCCAAATAAACCTCGTCTTAGAAGCAGTCAAGCAGCAACACCCGGATTGTCTGTGACAACAAACACACGGGTTAATTACTGCAGCTCAGCTCGACACAGCTGTCAGAGAACTCCTTAAGCAGTTACTTTGTGGCCGGTTGCGGTAGATACTTTTATTACTGTTTGTCATCACTTGTGCTGTGTTTACTCTCTCACTGCCTGATGTCTGCATTCAGTGGCGTGGACAATGCTGAATGTCGTAAACTGGTCACAACAGAACTGCCAGGAGAAGAGGAACGGTGCTTGGGCCTATTATCTTGACAAATCCTCAGATTTTTAATGTGATTCGAGTCGATTCCCTTGGCAACCATGAGATTTGCTTTGACTAGGAAATGGGCATGACCTGGGGAATGAGTCCCTCTGTCTGGGGCCCCGGCTACCTGCTGTCATATACAAATAGCTCGGTTCTAAATCATTTTAGCTTCTGGAATGGCTTCCCGGACAAAGAGTGCTTCTGTGTCTTTGTCGGATGTAGGCTGAAAGTCTTGGATGGAGAAAATGGATACGTGTGGATTGCAACATCTCTGAGAGAAAGCAGGAAGGCAGGGATTTCCCAAGTTGGAAAGAGGGCTTGGGAAGTGGGAAGTGGAAGTTCTCTTTCTTCCTCTTCCCTTCCCTCCCCGATCTTAGATGTGTCATGATACACACCATCACTGGGTACTGTCCTCTGCCTTCCCTCGGTAAAACACAGATTCAAACCACCAAAAGGAGAAGGAAGGGAAAGGAAACTAACATTTAGTTGATGTCTATTCTTTGCTAGGCACTAAGCTAAGGTTTTTTTTTTTTTTAATTTATTCATTTATTTATTTTTGGCTGCGTTGGGTCTTCATTGCTGCGCGCGGCGAGCAGGGGGCTACTCTTCGTTGCGGTGTGCGGGATTCTCATTGCGGTGGCTTCTCTTGTTGTGGAGTACAGGCTCTAGGTGTGCAGCCTTCAGTAGTTGTGGCAGTGGGCTCAGTAGTTGTGGCGCACGGGCTTAGTTGCTCCGCAGCATGTGGGATCTTCCCGGACCAGGGCTCGAACCCGTGTCCCCTGCATTGGCAGGTGGATTCTTAACCACTGTGCCACCAGGCAAGCCCTAAGCTAAGGTTTTAATACATTATTTCACTTAACTGTCAAACCAAATCTACAAAAAGAACAATTCTGATTGTGCGTATGAGGAAATAGGGGCTCAGGTGAATCAATAACTTGTCCGAGTCACAGAGAGATTAGGTGATGAGAACTTAGAAATGGCTGAGTGCGTGACTTCCAATAAACCCTGCTCATTAGGAATTGTTAAAAGCTTGCATTGTCAACAATAATCCACAGTTGGCAAGAACCCTAACCCAGAAGGTTCTCTTCCAAGGTAGTGAGTTTGAGCTCTTTTTTAGGCCCTGGTAACTCGTAAATTCCAGAGTGACAGCATGCCCTCACCTTGAGAATGTGTTGGCTCCTGAGCTCCGAATACATTTCCCTATAGAAATAATAATACGCACAGTGTCTGGCTTCCTAGTCCAGTCTACAAACCCTATTCTATTTATGAAGTACTTGAAAACAGTACTAATCATACCTCAGATTAGGTACAATTAACTGTCAAGTAATAATGTTTTGGTGGAAAAATAAGTTACTTATGAAGCCAGGAGCACGTTTCTTCTTATTTACTGTGAAACTGGGGATCATCCCAGCTCTAAACAACCAGTAGTGGTTTCCACAGCCTGGGCAAGAATTAGGTACCCCGGCAGGACGGAGGATGTGAGGGAGGGTCACGTGAGGAGCTCAAGAAGCCCTCAGGTCAGCGTGTGGGAAGGGGCGGAGGGAAGGACCCCGGGTCTGTGAGTGAGCTGAAGGCCTAGGCTCGCAGGTGGCGGCAGTGGGCTGGGGCGTTTCATGTGCATCAACCTCTGAGGTTCTGTCTCAGGAGGACACACCAAGCTGGTCCTCCTTTTCTTCTCTGCAATAGGACCCACTGTCATTCTAGTCCAGCTTTCCCTTCTTCTCTTCAAGGCCACCCTTTCCTTTTTTCCTGAGGCTCGCATGTGGGTGTCCACTGACTTCACGATCCCCTATTCCTGGAGTGCCCTGCACCTGCCCTGCACACCACAGCCAGAGCAGTCTTTCTAAAACATTAATCTAACTGTGGTTAAAATTCTTCCATGCCCCCCGCCAACCCCCCGCCCCTACACCAGCTGAGGGATTAGAGCCCTCCTTCTTCCAATGACGAGCAAGATCCTCGAAGACCCGGTGCCCGACCTACTTCTCCACTGTCACCTCTCAACACTCAGCACCTCCCAGTTTGAGTGACAGCAGACCTAAAATGCATCAGTTCCCAGCATGCTTTGTGTTCTCTCAAGCTTCAGAACATTCACTTACACTGGTCCCCCTGCCTAAAATACTTCAAGTCTTCCTTCTTTTGCTAACTCTCAATCATCCTCTAAGATGCCTCACGATCACCTCCTGAAACTCTGCTTGACTTGCAGGTGGGGATGTGTCCCCCTCTGTGCTCCTCTGTGTTCACTGTGCATCTCTCTCTCTTTTATTTCAACATGATACTGCTGGGGAAAGGGCGTGGCTCGTTTGCTATACGTCCCAGCACCTGACACATTTCCTGGTAGGAATTCAACACATATATGTTGAGTTGAACTAAGGATGGCTCCCTAAATCTGCCTTATAGTGGATGCCCCACGGGTGTCCACTGGTTCCCCGGCTGCTGGGAGTGTTGTCTGCTACAGCTCACAGTCGAGTCCCTCCCTAAGAACTGACCTCAGCCAGATGGAGCGGCTGTGCCCAAAGTTACAACCCTCCCCCAGAGACAGTCAATAGCCAATGGCTGATCCATGTGGGGGAACATCTGGGTTCCTTGCCTCTGAAGGGCCATCCCAACTTCAGAACCCTCATAGGCTTGGCTGAGGCGTCCTTTGCACCAGCCTCAAAGCCACCCCTTCTCCCTCACCCGGCCCTGCCCTCTCCCTCCCCGACAGGGGTGGTTCCCCGGTAACTCTCTTGCTCACAAATCTCCATTTCAGAGTCTGTTCCTGGCGGGGCCAATCCACCACAGGACTATTGCTTCCAGCCAGTAAACTGGGCAACTACTTCCCTGTTGCCCAGTAAAGCAGAATGCATTTTCCAGCCTTTTCCTTACTATTTGACACTAGAAACAAGTGATCTTTCCTGAGGGGTTTTTATTGTTTGTAACAGTAGAGAAACACAAAGGACATAAAAAGACTCCTTCAACTCTCCTTCATTTCTTCCTGGAAACCTTCCTCTTTGCCTCCCACCCCCATTTCCCTTATTTAACAAAGCAGACCTGATGGGAAAGACCTACGTGCACAAAGGTGCTAGTCATGGTGAATCTTAGGTAAACACAGAACTCAGTAAAGCAAACATTTCAGAAGAAAGCCCAGTCATTGGCTGTCCTGGGTGTTTTACTGCAGGAGCTGAGGTGAGATGAAGGCTGAGAAGGGGCGGGGACTAGAGGAAGAAGGAGGGGCAGCAGCACCCCTATTCCAGGCCTGTGATAAGGAGAATGAAAATCAAGGTCCCTGTGTATTATCAAAATAAAAGGTTAAGTAAGTAAGATGCTTTTATTACCTTAATGCTGCTTCTTTTCCTATGCTTCTTCCCCTTTTGCAGTTGAAACAGATAGCCTTCAGAATTGCTACGGCTAATTTTCACTTGGTTTCTTTGGCTTCTCTCTGAACTGAGTTGGGATTCACTTTCCACCCTTGATGGTATGGGTGGAAGCGTGACGCCGGGTAAGGCCCCTTCGTGGGGATGCACCTCAGTCAGATGCATTAGCGCTTGCTGATGCTGCTCCATTGTCTGGGTGAGCCGTGAGTCTGGAGAGGCACTAGCAGGTTGGCTCTCAGAGGAAGAATGGAACTTCCTTAAAGGAAAAAAAAAAGCACAAATCTGTTAATGAAACCTAGATACATAAGACTTTTAGCATAGAAGTCTTTATGAACCATTCATTTGATGTATTTATCACTCCCCCAATCAAATTAATGTTCTTTAGCTTAATCTTTTCATAAATACATTAATTTCTTAATATCCTCTATTTTTTCTTTACGATAGTCTAGCTCTTACTTAGAACTTTCATTTAGTGCATTCAGAATAGAAAAAACATCATTCTGAAAAATCAAAGGCATTCCCACCACAAAATACCTGGACAGGGTGGATTAAATTAAACAAATGCCCTTTTAATTAGATAGTTGGATTTGTAAGAGAGACAGGGAATCTTCAGAGACCACAAACTAAACAGAAACTAAAACTAAAGCAGATTTAGATAAGATGAAGCTATGGCTTTCTTTGAGGGAGTTTGGACCTAAGTGCTTGAGTTTCACCATTCAACACTGGTATGGGATATGTGAGATCTTGGCTCTGTGTCGGGCAGAGAATCAGAACTGAGATGCCTGCGTGCAGGCTGTATGTAACCCTTGAAGCGCTACACCCTCAATAAAAAGGTAAATTAGTGAAAAACTCATTCACCAGCCTTGGAAAACAACAAAGCAAGACTATCTGTCTTAATGTAGGCTCTGAGCTGGGAAAAAAATTCCCTGTGAATATCTACGGGACAATATTTGGGGTTCAAATTTACCTTCCCCACATAATCATGGAAATCCAACACCAAGAAATTAACATAAAGTGATCTTAGAGAAAGGATACCTCTGTAGTATCTGTCAGAAGCAAGTTCTCTGGAAGGATACATTCCCACCCAAGCCTGCCTAGGTGTCTACAGAGAAGATGGATAAACATAAGTTCACAATCCAAAATCCTAGAACATGTGAGTAAATAACCTACCAAGTATGAGAATGAGCAGATACACACACAGAGCAGTAGCAGATTTCTAAGAACTTAAGGTAATTGAATATTAGACAGCATTCATAAGGAAGCATGTTTATAATGATTAAAGACATGAAAGAAGAAATCAAAACCCCGAGAAATATATTCTGAAAAAATCACAGGAAGGTTTTAATCAGAACCATGTAGAACTCCTAGACATGAAAAACACCATTACTGAAATTTACAACTCAGTGGATACACCAAAGAGCATATTGGGGCTGAAGAGACTTAGAAACTTAGAGGAAATTTCTCAGAAAGAGGCATAGAGGGATAAGAGATGGAAATAAGAAACAGTTAAAAAGACACAGTCTAGAATAAGAGAATCAAATATACATCTACTTGGTGTTTCTGAAGAAAAATGAGAGCAAATTTGGGAGACATAATATTCAAAGGAAAAATGGGTGATAATTTTCCAGAATTTATGAAAGAAATGAACACTCAGATATAGGAATCCCAGAAAAATCACAAGCAGGATTACAAATTTCAAACCTAGATACATCACAGCAAAGCTTCAGAACACCAAAAACAGAGACCTCAAAACCAAGAAGAGAAAAAAAGACAAAGACAAAAAGAATGATAATTACATTGATAAAAGACTTTTCGAAGAAATAGAGAAGCCAGGAAATAGAAAAACAATGTTTTCAAAGAGGTTAATTCTTTATGAAGTTAAACATAATTTAAGATAGAGAGGAAAGTAAAGGAATTTCCGGTAAATTTACCAGTGAAATGTACTTGCTGAAAGAACTTCTAAAGGATCTACTTCAGGAAGAAAGAGTAAAATGGAAAAAAGAATGGGAGGCAAAGACAATAATAAACAACTGGTTAAATCTAAAACAGCACTGACTCTATACAACAATAATAAAACAATGATTAGTTTTAGAGCTATAAGATGCTGGATAAAAATAATATGTATGACACAAAGGGTGATTGGATTACAACAATCCAATGATTTGAATATGTCTGCAGGAGAATAGAAATTTTAACACTAGACTAGTTAATAATGTAAGTTAAAAAAAAAAAAAGAGAATAGAAAGAGAATATGCATTTCCAAATCAGTAGAGGGAAGAAGTAGCAGAAAGTTCTATCAGTTCAACAGACAGTATTAAAAAAATAAAGACAATATGTATTGGAAAAAGTAGGGTGGCTAGGACAAAGTAACATAGTAGAAATTAATACAAATATATGAGTATCACAAAAGTAAGTAGTTTAAAGTTTAATATCTGCCCACAAATAACAACAAAAGAAAAGCCAAACAAAAAAACACATGAGAACTAAATAGTTTTACTGGAAAATTCTATGAAATCTTCAAGAAGCAGTTCCAGTTGTACATGAAGTCTCCCAGAGGATATAAAATGGGGGAATTATTTTAAGGCTGGTATAATCTTGATAACACATCCAGGCGGGGGCCAATGGCAGATTGGAGAATTTTAAGCCAGTCTCACTTCCTGCATGTGAATGTTAAATCCTAAACAGTGTTAACAAATCAAATCAAGCAATATATTAAAATAGTGTGACAAGTTGGGTTAGTCCTAGGAATAAAAGGATGATGGAATGTTAGAAAATCTGTTAACACATTTAGCCACATAAAGGATTCAAGGAGAAAATTTTTCAATTGATGCAGAGAATTTGATAATATTAAATATCTATTTATGATAGAAGTTCTTTGCAGGAAAAAAATAGGAATAGGAGGTCATTTCCTATTTACCTCCCTAACTACTAAAAATTAAATATTTTTAATGGCAAAAATGTTAGACTCACTCCCTCTAAAGTCAGGAAAAAAAGATGAGAATGCCTGCTATCTATCTATCACTATCTCTCCTAGGAAGCGAATTCTGAATCTTATTAATTGTACATTCCATACCTCCAAGTGGAGCACTTAAATGTCTTCTGATTAATTCACGTGTGTCAAACTGTCTCCCTACTTTGAAAATAAGCTCCTTGAAGGTTCCCACGCATCATACTACTTTTGTATCTTTTATAGCATTTTAGTCCTATATTCAGCCATATCAGGTATGTAATAAACACATTTGACTGAATGATATCAAGAAATACCCCGATTTTAAAAATAGCTTTTCTTTCTTCTAATTATAGAAGTAATGCATCTACACTGTAGGGAACTTGGACAACTCAGAAAATATAAAGAAGAAATTAAAAATAATCCCAATCTCTCTTGCCAGAAATAACCACTATTGACATTTTGGTGCATTTTTCGTCTTCTCTGCACATTTTGACAGAGTAGATAGAGCTCATACTCCTTAGGTGTAATTTTTGCACTGTACTATTTTCTCTTTATAGAAGAATTTCCTCATAAACATGGTTTTTAATGGTTACATGATATTAAATATTATAATTAATCTAAACATTTCCTTATTCAATTATTGTTGTCATGTCTGTAAATGATATGTATATATTTTTTATTGAAGTGTAGCTGACGTACAGTGCTATGACAGTCTCTGCTGTACAGCAAAGTGACTCAGTTATCCACATATAGACATTCTTTTTCATGTTCTTTTCCATGTGGTTTATCACGGGATACTGAATACAGTTCCCTGTGCTACACAGTAGGACCCGTTGTTTATCCATCCTAAATGTAATAGTTTGCATCTACCAAGCCCGAATTCCCGGTCCATCCCTCTCCCTCCCCATCCTCCCCCTTGGTAACCACAAGTCTGTTCTCTATGTCCGTGATTCTGTTTCTGTTTTGTAGATAGGGTCATTTGTGCCATATTTTAGATTTCTCATATAAGTAATATCATATGGTTGTAAATGATATTTTTATACCCAAGTGTTTTTTTTCCTGTATTTTAGATTATTTTCTTAGGATAGACCATTACAGAGTTGGAGAGAATTTGTTCCCTCTGAACATTACTTGCGACCGTCAAAATATACTGATCTTTTTTGACTGGGTCCCTCTGCCCTTCTCCCTCCAACCTCTGGTTTAACGACAGTGGAAAAAGTAGAGGAGACAGGGAAGAAGAAATACATCAAAAGTGGACTATTTTCTGCAGAAATCAAAGGCAAGAACGTCGTTAGGAGAATTTTTCCTCTTGCCTGACCATCGCCATGAACGGCCCCCGCCCCTCCACCCCATCCTCCCCGTCCTGTCTTTCTCTAGCAGCCTCTTATTACTCTAGAAAACCACTTGAAAACAGGAAATTCTTACCATAATATTTCTAAGTTCTTATACTTTGTTTCTGTATAAGTCCGTTTGGGTTGCTTCTTATTTTCAGTTGATCCATTATCATTTATGTTAGAAACAGACTGAGAGCCTTTCTGGCTAAGGGATGCATGTTTCTTATTCAGTTCATGAAGATAGTTCAAGTCCATATTGGAAAGAGTGTCAATGTGTAGCTGCTGATTTGAAAATCTTTTCTCTTCTTGGTCTTTGCGTCCTCTTTCTGTATTAACATTCATCATTGAGTGACACCTGGTAGAATTTTTATATAATACCTTGTCAGAAGCCTGGTGTGGTGGAGCAAATTTATTGGAGGTTACTTTGGGTTCCTGGCTTCTCGGTATACCTGAGTATTGTAAATCATTGCTCGGGGCATTCATAATCACGACTGTTTCCTGTTTCACTGCAGTATGTATAGGCTTATTTGGGGTTTGCTGCTGTCTGGAAGCGTTATTCTGGTTTCCTTGACTGACAACCAGCTCTTCAGTCACCAAAGACTTTGGGCCATGCCGGTGTTTATGCTGTTTTTGAATCTTGTGCGTGGCTGGTCTTCTGGAAGGTTGCTGGCCATTGGTTGTTTCTGAAGATTGACCTCTGGGTCCATTGCTTGATTTTGCATTTTCAAATTGAGACCAGTGTTCCTGGTAATCCTAAAAAGATATTTTTAGTTAATATAAAGTTAAAAGATTGACACTCTTCAGCAATCTTAGTGTTTCTCAAACTGGGAGTTAAGACTTCTAGGAAGGTGACCACAGAATTGAAAAGCGCTAAAGAAGGAGAACAGAGGGTCCTTTCCTCATTTCGGGCAATGAGAGGGTGATTAGCTGAGTGGTTCCTCCTGGCAGTTTCAGATTATGAATTTTCTAGAAGGAAATAGCTTAGAATGGGCATTATATTAAGGGCAAGTCTTTGACTTAAAATGTTGTAAAATGAAGTATTACCAAATGGGGGAAAAAAGCAGCTTTACCTCTAAAGAGCTGCATACAAAGGAAGTGCGAATCAACATCAAAATATGCAAGTTTATCTTAACTAAGATGAATATTTTTAAAAACATTATCCAGAAAGAACATCAACAATTTGCTTTGCCCACCAAGTACAAGTTTAATATGAAATACAGTTCAGATTATCAGATCTTCTTACTCACATAGGTCAGAAGCTAGAAACGATCTCTTCACCAGATGAAACAAATTAGATCTTATTCAGAGGATTATAAAAGAGTCTGTGCGGTGATAGGACATCTGTGAAACCACAAGGGTTGTTTTGCTTCTGTTCCTTAATATAGCCTGTACTTAGGCAATCAAACATCTGGGGGAAATATTTCAATTTCAGAGCAGTCTTTATGCTTTCCAAAGTTTTGTAACAACAAAATGTACTCCTGGTATAATGGATGCACTATGTAACTATATTGTGCTAAGACATTTAGACGTATTTCCCGAGGAATAAAGCGCTCGTTACTTTGTGAAAAACTAGCTGAGTTAAGAGGCCTTTGGAAAAAAAAAAAAAAAAAAAAAGAGGCCTTTGGAAAGAATGATTAAATGCTTACTGAAAACAGTCCGAGGACCATATGCCTCAGTGTGTTATATAACTGCAACATAATTCTTCCTTGCTGAACACACGTATAAAGAGCCTCTGTGGCCTGTATCTATGCAACGTTAATCGAAAAATGCAAGTTACCCAGATCATTTGAGAAAAAAAACTTGAACAAATCATGTTTTTGCTCAAATTGTTTTAAGGATAAGTTCAACTTTTATTTCACTTTTCTGATATAATTGCTAAGGCTCATCCTGCTCCTGTATAATATTTACTGGTATTCTACTTCTCATGAAATCTCATTGTAATGATAAGGTTGAGATTATTCAATTTAAAACAGTAATACACAATATGACTTCTTATATCAGATTTTCAAGTAAGAATGACTTATAATTCAAAATGTAGAGTAAGTTCTCCTTAGAATCTGAACTTTTTGGAGGATTGGCCAGGTTCTTAGTAGCTCCTCTAAACTTTAAGTTTTTACCTGCGGTGCTCCAGAAAAGAAAATACTTCCTTTTCTGTCTGTATTTCAATGAAGAAGGGTCCTTCTTTTCATGCAATATATTGAGCTGCATGGGGGAAATGTGGGCAAGGAGGCTCTGCCAACAGACAGCCCAAGAGCATCCTTCCTTGTAGTGGATGCAGAAGAACATTGTTATTTACACTCTTGTAGGTGTGTTCATGAAACACAGCAGCTCTTTTCATGGCTGTCATCACTGTTTTGAAGGTCAAAAAAGATCCCTCTTTGCTATGACCTAGAGATATTTATTAATGCTGATAATGTCATTCTTTTCAATATTTGTTCAGCCTTCTTTTAAATTGAAGGATAGTTGATTTACAATGTTGTGTTAATTTCTGTTGTAAAGACAAGTGACTCAGTTTAACACATATATACATTCTTTTTTATATTCTTTTCCGTTATGGTTTATCACAGGATATTGAATATAGCTCCCTGTGCTGTACAGTAGGACCTTGTTATTTATCCATCCTATATATAATGGTTTGCATCTGCTAATACCAAACTCCCAATCCAACCCTCCCCCACTTCTACTTCCCGTTGGCAACCACAAGTCTATTCTCTATGTCTTTGAGTCTGTTTCTCTTTCGTGCATAAGTTCACTTGTGTTATATTTTAGATTCCACATATAAGTGATATCATGTGGTGTCTGTCTTTCTCTTTCTGACTTATTTCACTTAATATGATAATCTCTAAGTCCAACCACGCTTGTTCAGCCTTTTAATTGCTAGAAAAATAAGTGACCAGGAACTCTTTTTCTGCTGCCATATGACTGTACTTGTCTAGCTCTGTCTCTCTCATTTCCACCAAAAAACCCTATCAAGAATGTTTTTTCCTGGGCTACCAGACCCAAAATCTTGGGTTACCACTTGGTCTTAATCCTCTTATATCTTTGCAGCTGACAATTCAGATGACAGTAGTGCTCTTCACAGGGTGCTTTGTCAACAAGGCCAAGGACTCATCATTTCATGAGAAACTTCATTTGCCTCGAGTGTTAAATCCACTGTTCACATAAATGTAAGTGGCCAGAGACGGCATTTCAGTCTCCAGAAAGAAAGACGTTTATGGGCTTGATGTGATATCTCTCACCTTCCGAGCAGCCTACTTGAGATCTGAGGTTTACTAAAGATTTATTACCTACAGTTGAGGCATCAGGTGTCACTCTTTAGGTGGCAAGACCCTAGTTCCCTGAAGTTAATATACAAAGCCATTCTCAGGCTATTTAATCTCCGTCAGCACCGAAATCCTCTATTTCATCCCCCTCTCACTGGGGTTCTTTTGTTACCAACACTCACAATCAGACCGGACCAAGCACTCAGAATAACTGCTTAATGGCAGTAGGTTTTCCCAGCACACACAAAGCAGAGTCCTTTGGCTGCAGCGTTAGCACCGGGGGCTCCTGATGCCTAATGCTGGGATGGTAATTTCTCAGTAAGATCTGGGCTCAGTTATTAATGCTCCTTCATACTGTGCCGTCCAAGGGAAGTCTGCCCCCAACCCTGAGACAGGCAGCATCTGGCTATTTCTCTTTCACAACTTTTTCCGTTTACATGACCTAAGCAGAGGGGAGAATGCACGCTTTGATGTCAGCCAAAATGTTAATCTGCTTTAAAACAAAAGCCGTTCTTGCTCTTAGTCACCCTGATCGACCCTGGAGTCCTGAGGGTTGTGCCTGGGCTCCAAGATTAGCTCTGAAGTTTCTTTTGTGTTTACTAACAACAAAACACACATTCTTTGAGTCTGGGTTATACATTCCATTCGATAATATTAATAAAATTTAGAGAACACAGTAGCTCTAATTTTCAGTGCTAGTATAGAAGGACTCTATGCTCGGGTGAATAAAAGCGGCATAGCTCTGTTGATAGTGCTGAAGGAAAACCAAATGAATAGCTCTTTGGAAAGGTGGGAAGATCACTTAGGATGTGGTCACAAGGATGTTGACATAAATAAGTCAAAGACGCTGCATATCTTTCGTGCTATCATTTCTTTTGCAAGAGTTATTTTATTTAGAGGCAAGAAAGGAAACATCCTGTTTCATCCTTTTGAAGACTCATGTATTTGGGGAACTTTCTTCTTTCCCACTGACAGCATGCTCCTTTCCCGGGAAGGATCTTCTGCTGGTGGGAGTGTATACCCTCTTGCACTGGCCAGCAAGGGTCTGACCCTTAGCTCAGTACTGTGTCTGGTTCTGAGCACACGGTGGAAATGGGATTTGGAAAATCTGTGAAGATTCACAGGAGAGCACAAAGCGATTCAGGGCAAGACCTATGTGGACAGGTAAAGTGAAGACGGATTGCTTGGCTTGAAGTAAGGATCTTAGGCATGTGCACGGCACTTAAATAGAAAATGATGAGGATGACCGTCAATTCTCAGTATTTTTTTTAAATAGATCTTTATTGGAGTATAATTACTGCACAATACTGTGTTCGTTTCTGTTGTACAACAAAGCGAATCAGCCATATGCATGCACGTGTCCCCATATCCCCTCCCTCTTGAGCCTCCCTCCCACCCTCCCTATCCCACCCCTCTAGGAGGTCACAAAGCACCGAGCCAATCTCCCTGTGCTATGCGGCTGCTTCCCACCAGCCAACTATTTTACATTCGGTAGTGTATGTATGTCGATGCTGCTCTCACTTCGCCCCAGCTTCACCCTCCCATCCCACATCATCAAGTCCATGCTCTATGTCTATCTCTTTATTCCTGCCCTGCAAATAGGTTCATCAGTACCATTTTCTTTTTCAGATTCCATATATATGTGTTAGCATACGGTATTTGTTTTTCTCTTTCTGACTGACTTCACTCTGTATGACAGACTCTAGGTCCCTCTACCTCACTTACAAATAACTCACTTTCGTTTCTTTTTATGGCTGAGTAATATTGCATTGTATATATGTGCCACATCTTCTTTATCCATTCATCTGTTGATGGACACTTAGGTTGCTTCCATGTCCTGGCTATTGTAAATAGAGTTGCAATGAACATTGTGGTACGTGACTCTTTTTGAATTATGGCTTTCTCAGGGTATATGCCCAGTAGTGGGATTGCTGGGTCATCTGGTAGTTCTATTTTTAGTTTTTTAAGGAACCTCCATTCTGTTTTCCGTAGTGGTTGTATCAATTTATATTCCCACCAACAGTGCAGAAGGGTTCCCTTTTCACCACACCCTTTCCAACATTTACTGTTTCTAGATTTTTGATAATGGCCATTCTGACTGGCATGCCATTCTGACCAGCGTGAGGTGACACGTCATTGTAGTTTTGATTTGCATTTCTCTAATAATTAGTGATGTTGAGCATCTTTTCATGTGCCTCTTGGCCATCTGTATGTCTTCCTTGGTGAAATGTCTATTTAGGTCTTCCGCCCATTTTTTTAAAAATCTATTTATTTATTTATTTATTTATTTTTGGCTGTGTTGGGTCTTCGTT